CATGTGTGTCGTGTCGGCAGCAGCCATAGCCGTGGCAAGGACGATAAAGTCTACAACATTCTCAATTTTTGGTATGCCTTAAATCGGATGACTTTGTATAAAAATTCCCATTTTTGTCTTGGTTATTTTATTTCATTTATTTTCAGTTGCCACTGGTGTTGTTGTTGTCGGTTTTGGTGTTGCTCTTGCCTGCCACTACTTTCTCAGAATCCTGTATGCATGTTCCATATTGGGTGTGTGTGTGTGCGACTGTGTTTTGAGTTTGATGGTGGGGGCGTGAATATTATTGGTTGGCAGGCTGGCAGGCAGTCTCACTGACTAGCTGACTGCCTGTCTGTGTTGGTTTGTTTGTTTGCACGGCTAGGCCGCTTGATATTTTTTTTTCCTTTTAATTTTTATATTTTTGCTTTCTTACAATTTTCTGCTCATATTTCTTCTGTCCTCCCTCCCCTCCACAACAACTGTCATCTTAGCAACATTACTCGACAAATAAGGGTGAGGCATGCCAAAAACGAAGAAAAACCGAAAAATTATGTATAATGGAAAATTTCTTTTCAAAGAAATTTGCACAAAAATGAAAAACAAAAACAAAAAAAAACCTAAACAAAAATGAAATAAATTTTTGTGGTATGCAAGGATGTGCTGGCTGGCTGGCTGGAGTCAGGATGTATGTGGAATATAAAGGCGAACACACACAGAAGTATACAAACATATGAGCACGTGTAAAAGGATGTGTGTGTGTGTTTGAATGTAGTTTGCTCTGTGTGTGTTGGTGAGGGGTGTAGATTTATATACGTATAAAGTAACAAAAATACTTATTGTTTGCTTGGAAAAATTTCAATTTTTTTCTTAAGTTTGCCTCCAGCTCCTTTTTTCTTCTCTTCTTGCCATAGCCTTTCACTGGCTCAATTATAGTTAAACACACACACACACACAGACACAAACTTACTTTCATACCATTACAATATGAATTAAGGTTGTAAAAGTGTTACCAGGCAAAGGGAAACAAAATAAAACCCTTCGACCCCCCTCCGGCATAAGCCGAAAAAAAGTTGTTTGATATTACTCGGTATGTATGCCTGTGTTCAGATTATGATTAAAATAAGGATGGATGTGTGGGAGGTAGGGGGGGGGGTGATTCTGATATTTTATTTTGTGGGTGTAAGAATGTGTGTGAAGGCTGGGTGGAGGCGGCGGCGACGGCAGGGGAAGGGGGTTACAAGTGCCTGGTCTGTTGGTGTTTGGAAAAGCTTATTATAAAAAGTTTAATAATGAAATATATACCAATATATACAACGTACACACACACATACACCACCACCAACACCATCATACACATCAGTAAATATAAGCCGTGCAAAGGCACACACAGAGAAAAAAAAATTATGAAGAAAAAAAAGTAACACAAAATAAATTAGTCATGCGCAAAAAATCTCAATATTGGAAAATATTTTAATTAAACATTTTTATTAAATTGTTGTTCATCTCTTCCTGCCCCCCACCAACCAATTTTGGCATCGGGTTTTGTTTTTGTTCTCCATTTTCTTTTGGTATTGCTCCATTAGCTTGGTGGTGATGATGGCCGTTTCCAGTTGAATGCTTAAACATGTGCAGGGGAAAATTTGATAAAATATTTCATTAATGTTAACTACAACTATATATGTATTTTTTGTGAAAAAAAAATGCTAGCAAAAAAGTAAATATTTATAATAAAAAAATGTATAAATAATTACATTAATATGATTTTATATTAAAAAAAATATTTTTACAAGCTGCAAAAATCTGCAGTTTTTTTTAAATAAAATTCCAATACCCCGAGGAAGTGGGGGTCCCTTCAAAATGGAAAAATTTTAGACACATTCTTATCCAATTTAATATTTTATTCCATTTGTTTTAAAACAATTTTATTCAACGCATTTATAGGAATAACTTAAACTCTAATTTCATTCAAAAAACCCATAAATTTCTGATTATTTTTTTACGGTAAATAATAAGTATACAAATTTCTTTTGTTCAGAGACTAACAATGAAATTTGATCTAGAATATTTCTTCCTTTGAAACCTACCCCAAAAAATTAGGTTTTAATGGAGATTTTACCTTAGAATGGAAATGTGTTAAATTAGTTTTAAATAAACGTAAACACATAATTTTCAATTGCAATATATGCACTTCGAATGCAAGTTTCTTTAAAACTATTTATTTTAGATACATGGTTTATTCAGAGATTTATAAGGAAATTTTGCCTAAAATATTTTCTCTTTTGAAAATTTTCGCCTAAAACAAAATTTAATGTAACTTTCATGCGTCAATTCAAAAAAAAGGAAAAATGGATCAAAAATTTGAGAAATATTTTCGCGTTTTTTTGCCTACATTGATGCAACTATTTTCTTGATATATAATGAACATAGAGATTTATTTTCTGTGGTGACTTATAATGAAATTTGATCAAGAATATTTCTTCCTTTGGGATTTTCTCCAAAAAATTATGAACTAATCGAAATTTTGGCTCAGAATGGAAATCTCTTAAATTAGCCATAAAAACGTAACCATAGAATTTTCATATATAATACATATGAATGAGATTTTCATAGAAACTATTAAGCCTAGATCCATAGTTTATTCTGAGATTTGAAGTGAAATTTTGCCCAGAATATTTCTTCTTTTGACACTTTTCACCTAAAACAAAATTTAATCTAACTTTCATGCGTCAACTCAAAAAAAAATGCAAGGAAACGAGCCAGGAAAAATTTTTCAAAAAATTGAAAAATATTTTCGCGTTTTTTTTCCACATTGATACAACTGTTTTCTTGATATAATATGGACATAGAGATCTCTTTTCCATGGTGACTAATGGTGGAATTTGATGAAGAATATTTTTTTCCTTTGGGACTTTCTACAAAATTTGTTTTTTATAGAGATTTGGAATTAAAATGGAAACGTGTTAAATTATCTGTAAAAAATATGAACATATTTTTCATTTGCAATACAAAAAATTCAAATGAGTTTTTCGTAGAAACTATTAAGCCTAGATGTATATTTTGTTCTGAGATTTATAATGCAATTTTCCAAAGAATATTTCTTCTTTTGGCACTTTTTGCGTAGAACGTAAGTTTATATTACTTTCACGCCTCAATTCGAAAAATGGGCGAGAAAAATGTATCAAAAAATTGAGAAATATTTTCGCGTTTTCTGCCAAACTTTGATGCAACTATTTTCTGGATATACAATAAACATAGAAATTTATTTTCTGTGGCGACTTATAGTGAAATTTGATGAAGAATATTTTTTCCTTTGAGACTTTCGCCAAAAAATTAAGTTTTTATAAAGATATTGACTTAGAATGGAAACGTGTTAATTTTCCTGTAAAAACTCATGAATTCCACTTGTAATATATAAATTTCGAATGAATTTTTCTTAAAATCTATTATACCTAGATGTATGGTATATCCTGAGGTTTATAGTGAAATTTTGTGTAGAATATTTCGTCCTTTGACATTTTTCACCTACAATTAAATTTTATGTTACTTTCATGACTCAACTCGAAAAATGGGAGAAGAAAAATTTATCAAAAATTAAAAAATATTTTAAATTTTTTTTGCAACATTAATGCACATATTTTCTTGATATATAATGGAAATAGAGATTTCTTGTCTTTGATAACTTATAGTGAAATTTGATGAATATTTTTTTCCTTCCTTAATACCTTCCCCAATAATTGAAGTATTAAGGGAGATTTTTGTCTTACAATGGAAATGTGCTTAATTTCGTGTAAAAACGCATAAATTCCACTTGTAATATATAAATTTCGAATGAATTTTTCTTAAAATCTATTATACCTAGATGTATGATATATCCTGGGATTTATAGTGAAATTTTGTGTAAAATATCTCCTCCTTTGACATATTTTGCCTAGAATGAAATTTTATGTTACTTTCATGCATCAAATCGAAAAAAGACCGAATTAAAATGAGTATACATTTTTGTGTGTTTTGTTTTCATTATTGATACAAATATTATCCTGATATATAGGGACCTAGTGATTTCTTTTCTTTGTTGACTTATAGTGAAATTTGATGAAGAATAATTTTGTCTTTAACGTCATCCTTCTAAAATGATTTCTGACAGGAGAATTTGGCCTAAACTCTCATTAAGTACATACTGGTTAAAAAAATGTTTTTGTCATGGAAGTTATTTTTAAAATAACTTCTGGGGAGAATATCCCAGACAAAAAACAAGAGAACTGATGAGGATTGGTGGCTCTTTCCGAAACCTAGGTATTACCCCCTGGTGAACATTACCATCGTTCTCCACTAATAAACAAACTTTGTTTTTATAAAAACAACAATAAAGGTATTAAGTCTGACAATTTTGCAACAACAAAAGTACTGCTTTAACCCTAAAATGTATTTTTAATACTTACGAATTCCTGGTTTTTAGGTAAGGTTTAGAGTTTTCCTGTATTCTGGAACCTATAGTGGAATTTCTCGACGAATAATTTGGTAGAATATTTTAATATGCTATGATACCATTTAAAGGATTTTTTGTACCATTTTTGAAAAAAGTACCAAAAAGACCTCTTTGATGAATCGCTTGGGGGTTAAAGTTCTACACCGAAATAATCCTCACATTGTTATCCTTAATATTGCTGAAGACACCATATACCTAAAATGCATGGTTTCCAAGGAATTGAATTTCGAAAATTTCAAAACATGTGAAGGGATTTGAGTTTTTGTCAATAATTTTCTATTGATTTAAGTATGATTTGGATAAAAAAAAATTATCCGGATTTATGAATAGATAATTAAACCAATCCACTTTTTATTTCCAATTATGGAAACTCAAATTTTAGCTGCATGATTTAAGCATGTCCCATTCAACTATATATCCAATTAAAATTATATATCCCACATAACCATATTTAGAAAATTTACATTTTCAAAATTTAAATCCAATTTTTTTAATAATTTTAAAAAATTTTCCCCTTTCCTCCACCTTCCAGTAATACCAAAAATGGCCGCTTCTATATACGCAACCCCACCGCCCGATTTAAGTAGTGAAGATACAGCTCTGTCCGATGTATCCAATACTTCATCAACAAATGCCACCACTCACAACACAACAGCACACCATCACACCACACCATCGAACAAGGCCAGTCAACACAAGACCCCAGCAGTTGCAACAACTACAACGACGGCGGAAACAACAGCAATAACCGTGTCTTCATCCTCAACGGTGTCTTCGAATTTGTCTCCATCGCCAACATCATCGCTGTCAGCATCAAATCAATTTCTGGGTGTTAGTAAAACAAACAACAACAACAACAACACAATGACAAATACCTGTGAAACAAAATCAGCGCCAAATGTGAGCAGCAGTAGCAGCAACAATAACAACAACAACAAAACGAAACGGACAATTGCTGATGTGTTTAAGGACAAGAATATTTCATCGTCATCAGCATCATCAGTGGCAGCCACCACAATAGCAACAACACCAACCACACACCACATTAGTTCTTCCAGTTATACAGGTGATGGTGAAGCCTTGCTAACCAACGGCCCCGACAATGGAGCTGCCATGGCCGCTGTTGCTGCCGCCGCCACTGCAGCCATGCAAATGCAATATTTGGAAGCCCTCAACGATGCTGCCAAAAAGAGACGCAAACAACACAATCCCACACGTATGGATGAGGAGAAATCCCCGGAAAACTCTATTCCCGAAATCAAACGAGAGCAAAGCTCACCGCTTGGCCAAGATCCCGATTATGAGGAGAGATTTTCGAAAATGTTTTTACCCAAATCTATGGAACATTTAAAGGAGACATTTGAAATGTTGCAACAGCAGAAGCAACATGACAACATATCAAACTCATTGCACAACATGGCTGAAGCCAAGGACAACCAATCGACCAACCCCCACATGTCCTTGGAGAACGATAACGGCAACTATGCTCAGAATCCATATCATACTTTTTGCAAAGAATGTGGAGAGAATTTTGAAAATGAATTCAAGCTAAGTCTACACATGCTGCAGGAGCACAATGGCAGCGATGCGGGTGTCATGTCTCCTTTGGATATCCTGGCCTCGGTGAAGGTGAAAATGGAAAGGCCCGAAAACGATAGTCCCCAGGATCAAGCGATGATGGAGGCTGGAGAACAAACAAATCGAAATGAGAATGGTTCGAAGGATCAACAACAAGAGCATCAGCAGCAGCAGCAACAACAACAACCTTGGTTAAGGCAAGCACAAATACCTCCCTTGGGTTTCCCCTTTCCACCTGAGGCGGCAGCAGCAGCTGCCCTTCAAGCTGGTGGTTATTTGCCGTTACTGGCTGTGCCTGGTTTTCCCGGCGTCGATGGTCTACAACGGCCCCCAATGAGGATCTTCAATCCCGAGGCATTTTGTGAGCTATGCAACAAGGAGTTCTGCAACAAATATTTCCTTAAAACCCACAAGGCCAACAAACATGGCATCTACGATCCAGTGGGTGAGAGTGGCTCCAGTGCTGCTTCTACTGTTGCAGGCCAACAAAGCCAGACCCTAAATGCCATGAATCAAATGTTTCAATTGCAAATGCAGCAACAGCAACAACATTTGCAGCAGCAACATCAAATGCAAATGGAATTGGCCGCCGCCCAACAGCAACAGCAGCAGCAACAACAACAGCAAATTTCCCAAAACAAACATTCAAATGAGGCCAAGCGCAAAGACACCGACGACAAGGCCACCGGGCAGGGATCTTCAACGGTTTATTGTGATATTTGCTCAAAACGTTTCACCAACATTTTTGCCATGCGTCGTCATCGCGCCAAGGTACACGAACAGAATACGAGTGCCAACACCACCACTGCCATCACTTCACAACGCAACAACAGTCCCACAAACACCTTGGAGGCACCCACCAATTCCAATGACATGCAGGCCGCCAAACAATTTCAAATGCCCGATGGCTTTCGCCAGGATTTTGGCCTGGAACAGGAAGAGGTCTCATTTACACCTCAGCCCCGCAAACTGTCACCCCAGTCCCAGCAACAGGCGAGAGATGCCAATTTCGCCCACGACAAATTGAAGCGTTTGGGGGTTATGAACCCCGAAGCCTTCTGTGAGCTGTGCTGCAAGGAGTACTGCAACAAATATTTTCTGCGCACCCACAAATGGAAGCGCCATGGGATTTTCATACCCCCCGAGGATAATGAGAGTCTAGCTAAAATCCCCGGCAATTGGCCATTCATGAACATGCCAGCTGTAAATCTCATGATGGCAAGCCAGCGCATGATATCACCGGGTGGCAACAGCGAAGAGGTCGAACACCAGCAACAACCCAGCAAACGTATTAAATTGGAAAAACCGGATGCGTCGGAGGCTGATGGCGAAAATATGGCCACGGATGCGAACAACGATGAAAATCAAGAGAATCGCAATGAAAATAATCAGAACAATCAAAATTTGAGCGTACCATCAACTCCGGAACCGCAAAAGCCCCAGACAGCCAGTCCAGAGACGGTCATGGGTTTGCAGAACCTACAGAAATTGCAGTCCATGATTCAACAGCTCAACGATTTGAGTGGCAAAAGGCCGGTGGCTTGTCATTTGTGTGGCCGGGAAATGGAGAACCAGTATGCCTTGCAGGCCCACATAATGTCCGAGCACAGTGGCGGCGCCATGGAAGGTATGCCCGGCTTACCCACCTTCCCACCCCAGTTTCTGTTGCAACACCAGCAGCATCAACAGGCCATGTTGAAACAATCACCACCTGGCGGTTCACCGGGAGCTTTGTTGCCACCCCTCATGGCAGCAGGCATGGGCGCCCTGAGCGGAGAATTACGTTGCACACCCTGCGATCGTGAGTTCTCCAATTTGCCAGAATTTCAAAAACATATCACCGAAGTTCATTTGTTGGGCAACAGCAGCGGCGCCAGCAAAGGTAGCCCAATGCGTGAGGGCTTTGTGACACCCGATCGACCGGTTAATAGTTCGGCTACACTGGCCGCAGCTGCGGGCACTAGGCCTCCATACACGCTGACCCCCACCAGCAGCTACTGTGAGATCTGCAACAAAGAGTTGTGCAACAAATATTTCATGAAAACCCACATGCAGCGCATGCATGGCATTGAAATTGAAAATGGCGCCCAAATCGGTGGAGTGGTGTGCAATATCTGCAACAAGGAGCTGTGCAGTAAATATTTCCTCAGAGTACACAAACACAATACCCACGGCATTATTGATGATGGGGCACCATTGCCACAGCCGCGACAAAACGGCATTGCTGCAGAAGCCAGCCAACAGCAACAATCTGGTGCCCTAGAACCAGCAGAGGGTATCAATAGCAGAACTCTCAATGTGAGTCCCTTTGGCAGCAACAGTTCCGATGTGAAAACCGAATCCGCAGGATCTACAAGCTACAGCGACAATTGTCCGCTATGCAGTAAACGTTTCCGCAGCCCCAAATGGCTGCGTTCGCATTTGCTCAACGACCACGGAGCCAGTGGCATGGAAAAACTACGAGAATTGGAACAACAATTCGGCAGCTTCGGCAGCAAATCATCAAGTCCCACACTGAAAATACCAAATGGCTCAAGCTCAGCCGGCTCGAATTCCAATGCCGGCACACCCAACACCCATCCGAATGTCCCCTCGCCGGCACAATTGGCTCAGGCATTACAGAATCTGAATGCCCAGCAATTGTTGCAGCATGGGATGGCCAAACCCCAAATGCCCTATAAAATGGAAAGAAACCTATCATCACCACCGCGACCCAAGGAGTATCAGTGTTCGTTGTGTTCCTTTACCACTCCATATTATGCGTTCCTTTTCATACACGAGCGCACGCATTCCATAATGAATGCCGGAAATGGAGGCGGTGGTGAGGAACATCAGGATCAGGAAGATAAAGGTAAAGAAGAAGAAGAAGTGACACCCAGGCCAGAAGTTGATCATGAGGAGAGAGAAGAAGATGTGGAAGAGTGTGACAATTTCAACAAATCCCGAACCGGAACAACAACAATGGAGAATGAAACACAACCCACAAATTTGTCCATGCGTACACCCTCGCCCAAGGCCTCCTCCAGGTCGGGTTTAAAGGAACTACCCAGTTCCCCCTTGACACTTCAAATGCAGGATCATTCTATGCCGGAGGCTGAAGGCAATGTAACACCTCGACGTTTGTTGCAATCGGCTGCCTGCTCACCCATACAACAACAACAGCTTCAGTTGCAGGAAATGGCCGAACAATTTGGCAAAGCAGCTTGTTATGCTGTGCCACGTGAAATGGCCATGGACAAGGCTGGCCCCCAAATGCAGGCCTTCATCATTGAGGAGCAAACAGATAACAGGTTTGTGCCCGCAATTGTTTATTTACCCGTTAGGGAGCGTATAACCGGACCCATGAAGTTATCCTTTAATTTGACACCAGTTTAAAAAAAAGACGACAGCGGAATGTGTTTTTTTATTTGAATTATATTTTTTTGGGAGTAAACGATTCTCGAATCGAATTAGGTAAGAAAAGCAAGGTCACTGTTTAGGTAAAATAATTTTTTTCTCCTCGCCCCTTTCCCACAAAAACACAAAAAAAAAAAATAGGAAACTGAAAAAGACTGAAAGTTCTTAAGCGAAATAATTTACAGAAAACGCAAAATATCAAAAATAAACGCAATTTTTTTTAAGAGAGTCTCAATAGACATAAATTCAGGTCAGTGGCCCTGTTTTTTTTTACACACAAGGTAATTTTGTTTCAAATATTTCTTTCTTGTTTAAAAGTTTTAATTTGCCTTGTGTAAATGATACCTAAGGAGATTTATCAATGGAGGAATTAGTTTTATCAAAGAAACACAAAAAAGATTCGAAGCTTTGCTTGTCCTGTCAAATTTTCAAGGGAACTAGAGTTGGTCAGTTTTATTCACCAAATGGAACTATGTATCTTTTTCTTTTTCATTAGGAGGAACTAGTTCAATCATCTGGTTCGGGTATGAGTAAATGAATGAGAAAAGTAAAGGAATCAAAGAAACGGAAAAAGATAAGAGGATTTGCACAAACTAAGGGAAGTTGACGTACGAAATGGTGAAATATTGCTCTGAGAGTTCCATTGAACTTGTTCATTCCTAAACGTGAAAATTCTGAAAGAAACACAGAAGACAGAATTTAAGTTTAGCTAGTTCTCCGTATCATCTCAAAAAAGGGAGTTTAGGTGAAGGTACATAAGCAGCTTGGCATCATGGCTTGGCATATTAATGTCAAATTATTGGGAGAAACGACGTCAGGATTTGAGTGCGGCTCTGGCATCCCTTTATGATATGTTACAAAATATGCCATGCAAATTCTGAAAGAAACACGGGAGACAGAATTGAAGTTTAGCTAGTTTTCCGTATCATCTCAAAAAAGGGAGTCAAGGTGAAGGTTCATAAGCAGCTTGGCATCATGGCTTGGTATATTAATGTCAAATTATAGGGAGAAACGTCGGCAGGATTTGAGTGCGGCTCTGGCATCCCTTTATGTCACAAAATATGCCATGTAAAGTCTTCAAGCTGCTTATGTACTCTCGCCTTCAAAGTGAAAAGAAAAGAGTTAAAGCATTAATAAATTTAGAAGAAGAAACACGTTTACCCTATCAACTTGTGGGGAGGTAGAGCTAGACAAATTCACCAAACGGAACCATTTTTCCTCAGTTATTTCCTATGTGAAAGCAAATGATTTAACAAAAATTCCTCTCTTGGTTCGAACATTAGAAACGAAACACAGAGCGAAACTTGAAAGTAAAAAGACCAGGAAAATACTAAGAGGATTTAGATAAATAAATGTCTAACGAAATTTCTGGATACTGGTTCTGTTGAATTTTTTCATTCCGGAAGAACTAAATTCGGAAAACAAACAGAGAACATAACTCAGGCTTAGTGCTGGTCTGAATATATAAAGAGTTCTTGTTTGATTGCCAGTTTGTGTAAGACAAGAATTATTCAATGGTGTTTACTAAGTGGAACCAACTATTTTGACCCTCCAGTTTGTTTAACTAGTTCTTAGTTCCTTCTCAACTACATCTTTGTTCTATCTCAAAAAAAGAAGTACTGGTAAAATTAAACTTGTCAAAGAACTAATACATTCTAGAAAAGCAATCCACAAAGAAATGTTTTTCGCTGTAGGAAACTAGAGCGGGGCTTTTGTATTCACCAAACGGAACGAGCTTTTTCCATTATTTTCTCATGTGGAACTTGTTCAATCTTTTGGTTGCTTGGTTCCAGTATATGAACCAAAAAACAGAGTGAAGTTAAGAAATAAAGGAACTATAAGAGCACGAAAATATAAAATTATGTATAAAGGAAAGATCCGAAAGTTCTGTGGGACTTGTTCATTCAGGAACATAATTTTCTGAAAGTCACGAAGGGAACAGAACTCAAGTTTAGCACTGATATTGAACTAGTTCTTTGTTCTTTTTCAAAAAAGGAGTGACAAATAAGTGTTAAAGAGGAAATGCGTTTTAGGAAAGAAAGTTCTCTTGTACAAGGAACGTTATATTCACCCAACGGAACGATCTTTTCCGTTCCTTTTCGTCATTGCGGAACGATAAAATTCTGAAAGCAACTGATTCCAACAGTCCCATTCACTAAAACCAAAAAAAATGGTTTCCTTTTCCAGATAAATCAATACGGATTCTTACAACAATACAAAAGAATAAAACTAATAATTGAACCAATGGAACTGAAAACACGAAATAGGAACAAGGGACTAGTTGATGTAAAGAAAATATTTGAACTTACAAACATTGATGATCTGGGCTGGTTCTAACAGTTCCTTGCACTGGTTCCCTTTTCCAGATAAAACAAACAGAATTGTAATAACAATTTTGGAGAGTAAAACTAATAGTTGAACTAATGGGACCAAAAATATGAGCCAGGAACTAGTTAAAGTACAAAAAATACTCTAATTAACAAAAAATTAATGATCTGGACCTGGTTCATTTCACTGAAACCCCAGAAATTGGCTCGATAATAACAATTTTAAAGAGTAAAACTAATAGTTGAATCGATGGGACTGAAAATGCAAGATAGGAACCAGGAACTAGTTAAAGTACAGGAAATACTTGAATTAACAGAAAGTTTATGATCTGGGGTTGGTTTCGACAGTTCCCTTCACTGAACCCCTAGAAATTGGTTCCCTTTTTCAGACAAAAAAAAAAAAGAATTGTAATTACAATTTTAAAGAGTAAAACTAATAGTTGAATCGATGGGACTGAAAATACGAGATAGGAACCAGGAACTAGTTAAAGTACAGGAAATACTCGAATTAACAAAAAATTCATGATCTGGGGCTGGTTTCGACAGTTCCCTTCACTGAAACCCTAGAAATTGGTTCCCTTTTTCAGATAAAAAAAAGAATTGTAATTACAATTTTAAGGAGTAAAACTTATCGTTGAACTAATAGGACTGAAAATGTGAGATAGGAACCAGGAATTAGTTAAAGTACAGAAATACACGAATTAACAAATAATTCATGATCTAGAGTTGGTTCCGACAGTTCCCTTCACTGAACCCCAGGAAATTAGTTCCCTTTTCCAGATAAAACTAATTTTAAAGAATAAAACTAATAATTGAACTAATGGGACTGAAAATACGAGATATGCGATACTCGAATTAACAAAACATTAATGATCTGGGGCTGGTTCCGACAGTACCTTTTAGTGAATTCTTCAATTTTGAAACAACACAACTCCGTAGGGTGAAGATAATGACTTTCTCTATGAATTTGACAAGACAAGCAAAGAGAAAATCGTGTTTTTTCGTGTTTCTACCCTTTAGCCTAACCTCTCTTTTTTTATATGGCTTAGTAAAGTTCCTATTTTTATTCATTATTTTTTGTTAATCGTTTTTTTTTATTTTTTGAATTAAAAAACATATATGGCCTGTTCCAGAACCTGCAAGAATCTACAATTTTCTCCAATATCGGAGAGTCGGTTATCGTAGCAAAAAATTTTACATTCTTGCAGTTCTGAAACAGACCAATATATACAGACTAAAGACATAGTGTATGGTAGGAAAAAAAAAAAAGACACAAAATCAATATAGATATGAAACACATACGTAACTTAACAAAGAAAAATATCAGTACCCCCCTCTATTAAATAGCTGCAAAAATAAAAAGAAACAAGACAAGAAAAAATAAAACACAAAATGACCGCAAGAAAAAAATGTAGTTAAAACTTATATAGCAGGGTTTACAAAAAAGAATTTAATTGACGACACTACAAAAAGTCAGTTTATATACATATTATATATTAATATATAACAAAAAATACATATATATTATATATAGGTTCCCCATCCCCACCCTTATCTAAAGACAAAAATATATACAAAGAGGAAAATAAAACTAACTGCTTTGCTCAAAATAACTGAAGACAGAATTACCAAAAATAAATAAAAATAAAATCTTACAGCAAGTCCAGAATTTATTATTAAAATAATAATAATAAAAACCTTAACTATAGTAAATATAGGCCAAAAGTGTATAATACACTTTGTATATAGAACAAAACCAAATATTCAAAAAAAATCACCAGAAGACGAAGAAGACAAACTAAACGTCATCTTTGGGACGGACGGACATAGAAAATTTAAGAACATCAGGAATATCCAGAAAAAAAAATAAATAACACAAATAAAAGGGATAATATTATGAACTTTTCTCAGGGCAAAAGTACAACTTCTGTAGTTAAAAAAATAAACAAAAACAAAAAGAAAAACAACACTGAACTACAGAAAAAATATAAAAATTAAGAATTATATAAAAAACAAAAACATTAAATATTATTTTTAAAAATAACGAAATCTACCTCAAAAATAGAAGAAGGAGGGAAAACGAAAACATTTATTATAACCAAATATTTTATTTTTCCCAAAAAAAAAATTATAAATAGCAGTTTTAATATTATTTGTTTTTTTTTTAAATTATTTTATTTTTCTATATATACTAAATATCTTTAATTAAAAGATTAATTAGTAAATCTTTTTTTAATCCTTATTTTTAACATTCCATTCAAAACCCGCACACTAGTCAAAATATTCCCAAAGAAATTCTTAACATTCTAGTCAAAAACCAAATATTTTAATTAGTTTTTAAGTTGCAAACAAAAAATAATAATAATAATAATAACAATATAATACATGCTAAGCGTGTAAATAACATTTAAGGTGGACATACAATATATATAACATCTACATTCCACTTATATATGAACCCAAAATATGAGTAAAATCAAAATTAATTTTAAATATAACGCAAAAAGAAAACAAAAAAACAGCTGATTGCAATAGCAATTTGGCAGCATTGTTCGATGACAGGGTTGTATTTTCCTCTGCTACATTATATATTCCTCTATAACAAGGCACCCAGGGAAATTTTTCCTCTAAAAAAAAATCATTGCAATTTTTTTACAACTTTCTTGTCGGCGCTCCACCAAAAATAGGAAGGCAATTATTATTTACACAAAAAAAAATTATGAGAATTTTTATATGCTGCGTGCCTTAATAATAATTGCCGCTGAAAAGAAATTAAATATAAATATATATTTTTTAATTTCTT